GGCGGGTGACTAGGTAGTAAAGGGTGATGTACATGGGGGGGGGTTTCTTGGCACAGAACTCAGTGGGAAGGGCAGCGCGGTAGCGGGCGTCACTAGTGCGAAGGTGAGCAACTAGGTCAGCGACTGTGGCAAAGGCGGCAAGGTCAGGGAAAAGGTACGGCAGCATGAGGCGACTGAGGGCAGCAGTGGCAGGGGAGGAGTAGCGTGCAAATACAGCGTCGTACAAAGACTGAGCAGTCTTGTACTGACCAAAGTGTGCGCGCTCAGTAGGCGGCAGGTGACTACGAACAGCAAGACGAGCAACAGCGTCACGAGTGGTCCACTGCGAGCGAACAGTACTGTCAGCAGTGACAGGAGGAGCAGTGGAAACACCGGACGTGTGATCGAAAAGGGATACCCCATCCCTAGAGTCACACTGAAGAAAGAGCTGTAGGTCATCAACCCATACGTCAAAGTCAACTGCACGTCCCTCAGAGTCAAAGGTGAGAACTGTAGGACTAGCCATAGCAGCAGTGGAAGCAGTAGGAAGAGGAGCAGCAGTAGCACTAATAGCAGTAGTGCAGCAGTAGCAGCAGTAGCGGCAGTAGCAGCAGCGGCGCGGCTCGGCTAGGTGGCGCGGCTCGGCTGGGCGGCGCGGCCCAGCCGGGTGGCGCGGCTCGGCTTACCAGAGACAGGTGCAGGCGCCGGCAGGGGTCGGCAGGGGCTCGTCAGCAGGGTCCGGCAGGGGCCGGCAGAGGCATGCCAGGAGGGGCCGCGCCAGTTGGGGCCGGCAGGGGCTCGGCAGCAGGAGCCGGCCGGGGGCGCGCCAGTTGGGGCCGAGAAGGGGGGGTCCGCGACGGGCCGGCAGAGGGGCCGCGACGGGCCGGCAGAGGGGCCGCGAAGGGCCGGCAGAGGGGCCGCGAAGGGCCGTCAGAGGGGCCGCGATGGGCCGGCAGAGGGGCCGCGAAGGGCCGTGACGGGGCCGCGACGGGCCGTCAGAGGGGCCGCGAAGGGCCGCGAGGGGCCGCGACGGGCCTTAAGAGGGGCCGCGAAGGGCCGTAGGAGGGGCCGCGACGGGCCTTAACAGGGGCCGCGATGGGCCTTAAGAGGGCCGCGACGAGCCTTAAGAAGGGGGGGGGCACGACGGGCCTTAAGAGGGGCCGCGACGGGCCTTAAGAGGGGCTGCGACGGGCCTTAAGAGGGGCCGCGACGGGCCTTAAGAAGGGGCCGCGACGGGCCTTAAGAGGGGGCGCGACGGGCCTTAAGAGGGGTCGCGACGGGCCTTAAGAAGGGGCCGCGACGGGCCTTAAGAGGGGCCGCGACGGGCCTTAAGAGGGGCCGCGACGGGCCTTAAGAGGGGCCGCTAAGGGCCACGAAGGGGCAGCGACAGGCCACTAGGGGCCTCGAAGGGCAGGCACTAGGGCGCGGCTCGGTCAAACGTGACACGCGCCTTGGGCAGGTAAGGAAAAAAAAAATATTTCGAGTGGTGGGCCCTAAAAAAAACTCGAACCAGCTCTATACCATGTGATAATCGAGAATGGAATGATTGAACTAGAAACGAGATGGGTACAAGTAGAGAACACAAACGTGTTGTACCCTCTAAGAACTACCCCACTACAGCCTAAACAAACTATAGCAGATATAAGTTTGACACTCTGGACTTCAGCACAGCTTTCCTGCAGGGCAGCCTGCACGAGGAGATCTGGCTGTGCCGCCCACCTGGCTTCACTGGGTCGTTTCCTGCAGGTACCCAGTGGAGCCTCCGGCGGCTAGTCTACGGTCTCCGCCAGGCGCCTCGCGAGTGACACGACACACTGAGGACTACACTTGCGGCTCTTGGGTTTGCTCCTTCTACTGCTGACCCGTCGCTGTTTCTACGCACCGACACCTCGTTGTCGCCGTTCTACGTCCTCGTGTACGTCGACGACCTCGTCTTTGCCACTGCTGACACTGAGGCACTGACCCTTGTGAAGTCGGAACTGCAGAAGAGACACACCTGCACTGACCTGGGTGAACTGCGCAGCTATCTTGGCCTGCAGATCACCCGGGGAGAGCACGGTGCACCATCACCTTGACTCTGTCACACATGGTGCACCACGTCCTTCAGCGTTTCGGCTTCCAGTTCTTCTTGCCATAGCCCACTCCTCTGTCTACCAGCCACTCGCTCTCAGCTCCACCTTCGGACGAGTCCGTAGAGCCGAGTGGTCCGTACCCAGAGCTTGTGGGTTGCCTCATGTACCTGATGACGTGCACACGACCTGACCTCGCGTACCCTCTCAGCCTTCTGGCTCGCTACGTGGCTCCCGGTAGGCACCGAAAGGTGCACTGGGATGCTGCAAAGAGGGTACTGCGCTACTTGTGCAGTACGTCAGGCATGGGGCTCGTGCTTGGAGGACGGGGTCCAGTTGTCCTCACCGGTCACGCAGACGCCTCGTGGGTTGACGACTCAGCTACGCAGCGGTCGTCACAGGGGTACACCTTCAGCCTCGGTTCCGGCTCTGTTTCCTGGCGGTCTACCCGCTCGTCTTCTGTTCTCAGCTCCAGTTGTGAGGCTGAGATCTACGCCGGGGCCATGGCTGCACAGGAGCTACGCTGGCTCACCTACCTGCTGACTGACTTGGGAGAGCAGCCTCGTTTGCCTCCAATTCTGTACGTAGACAACAAGGCCATGATTGCCTTGTGTCAGGAGCACAGACTAGAGCACAGAACGAAGCAAATCGCTCTGCGATACTTCCTTGCTCGAGAGTTGCAGCAGCGTGGCCAGCTTCGTCTTGCTTACGTGGCCACTAGGGCCAACACTGCTGATATATTCACCAAGGCACTTCCGCCTGGTGATCATCAGCGCTTCTCTACTGTGTTAGGCCTTGTGCCTACTTTGCCTCACTTGCTTACTGCTTGACTCTGCTTGTACTGTGATCTTTATATATCTGTATATTTGCACTTGCTAGGATATGATCACTGTATTGTTTGTTCTCTTTATATAACTCTGCATGTGAACTAGCCTTGCGGCCCTTTGCTTGTGCTCGGACAGTGTGGTGACTTTGTGATCCACCCTGAGCTTGCTTTGCTTTTCTTTGACTGGTCTTGTGACCACTTGTTCTCCCCCACTTTGCCTATGGGGGTGTGTCGTAGCCCATAAGGGGTACAACCAGGGCTGACGTTTCATTTTAAGCCTCCCTGATTCCGGGGAAAATTTTCCCCCTCTATTATGGGTGCACATTTTCCAGAAAAGCAGTACCCTGATTGCTCAGGGTTGTAAAGTAGTTAACACTGATTGTTCAGGGTCGAGAACTGAACATCAAAGTAGTAACGCGCGCTTTGTTACCGGGGACAATATCCCCACTCTCCATAAAGTCTGCGCGCTGTGTTTCCTGCTGGCTGTACACTCGACTGATTTGTGCAGGGCGGGTGTGATTGACCTATCTGGTGTGCGAGTGTAATGTTTCCCTGTCTTATTACCATGCCCAATTGGATCTCTTCAGCTGGCATGCATCAGACACGCTGCGACTGTAGTTAGTCACCCTCAGAGGCGTTCCTTCTGGAGCGAGTGTACCGATCGAACGGGCGAGTCACACCTGTTCGAGTCACAGATTTCCGCTGTCAGAGCCTATTTCGACCAATCCCAGCAAAGTATATCTGACATTGCAGATTCACGCGATCTCGATGGTAGGTGTATCAGAACGAAGTTTCGAAAAAACTTCGTCTCGATAAAGCAGGAAGGGGGCGGATTACGCACATGTGGGGGGATCACTGCGATCAATCCAAGGCAGGGTCATCGGAAGGAAACTTCCGAGAAACTTCCTCTCGATAAGTCAGGGTCCACACAGTCGATACTCTGTTAAGCCAGGGTCCACTAACAGCCTAGTCTGTTACACTGTACTCAAAATCAGGGATAGCTAAACTATTACTCTGATTGGATCAGGGCTGGAAATTCAATAACTCTGAAATTTCAGTCTCCACGAAGTGGAAAGCCTGAAATCACCCTGAAATCAGGGTAATTACCCTGATAAAATCAGCCCTGGGTACAACCCAATTAAGGTTAGTACTTGTACCCAACTCTTTCATAGTTCATTCATTCTCGTTCATTCTTTTCCTCCCTCGTGCCTGAGGGAGGAAAACGCCGAATTACGCCAGGCACGAGGTGAAGCGCGCCAGGAGTCGCCTATAGCGGATGTGTCAAGTGGTAGCTTTATGCCAAACGAGGCCGTCTTCAGTGAGGTTGAAGGCTCCATGGATGCCGCAGAAGGAAGGCGGGCGCCACAGCCGGGAGCTACACCGACACCGGCAACAGTAGCAGCGATAGTACCGACAGAAGCAACAGTCCCAACAATTGACATGATAAAACCAACGATACCTGCTCACGTTCAACCTGAGTGACATGTTCGTCACGGTTCCGGGATGGTTGTTCGGCATAGAGGTGTTATTTAATGCTGCTCGCGTTAAAGACGATACTGCACGTGCGGTATTAATTTTGCAGTTTAACTGTTGCGCAGAGCTGCGTTGGAGTGGTGGCTGCGTTGGACTGTAATCCTGCTACGCAACGTGCGGCATCAATCTTCGGAGTAACTACGATGCGCACATGGAAGGAGTGGGGCGCTGGCTTGCGAGCAACGAGCATGTATCCGCCTCGGGTTCTGTTCGCAAGCGTGGTTGCCTGGAAGAAGTTGACTACAGCTCAAGACTACACAACGACGTTCCGCAATTTAGCCGACCAAATGGACGACATGAGCGATGCGGACCAACTCGACCGATACGAACGATGCAATTTTCAATCATCCTAATGTGATTCATTGAGCATTCGAAGCCTCGATTGCAGAATGTCTTCGTTGGTGAGCCAATTCAGTCATGGTCCAATCGGTACGGTACACTATATACTCATCATACCACCCAGCTTGAAGAGCACATAAAACATAAATTTCTGGCTGTGATTACGGCATTCTACAGAAACAAACCTCAAACAGAGGTACGGTACCTGGACAAAAAAGAAAGTGCTGAGATTCCAGTTTGCCGAAGCGGAGTGCTCACACACTAAACGAGTTGAGCATTTTTCTGAGCTTGGCTTCACCCGAAGCCCACTGCTTGTCGTTCGCACTGATCACCAGCAGCAGCACGGTGCTGCCCTTGGCCGTGGCAGATGCCAGGTTGTAGGCGCCCGAACGGGCATAGGGCGTCTCCATGTAGTACTCGTAGTACTGTGGTGTGTGGGGTGCAGGTATGGGGGTTGGGAGGAAGTGGGAGAGTTTTATCCCCTTTACAAGGACTATGAGCATGCCCGGGCACTTCCACGTAGTACTCCCTAGCACTGTAGTCTGCAGGGGAATTGGGAGAGAGCAGGTTTTATAAGGGGGGTGCTTCCAGCAGCAGCACTGTGCTGCCCTTGGCTGTGGCCGTGGCAAGGTTGTAGGCGCCTGAGTGTGCGTAGGGCGTTTCCATGTACGGTAGTACTGTGGTGTGTCGGGATTGGGAGGGAGTTGGGAGTAAGTGGGAGAATTTTATCCCCTTTACAAGCATGCGTAGGGCGTTTCCATGTACGGTAGTACGGTATTCGTAATACTGTGGTGTGGGGGGGAGGAGAGGAGGGAGAGGGGAGGAAAGAAGGGGTTTCAATAGGGAGTGGCTTCAACAACAGCACATTGCAGCCAGGTTGTAGGCGCCTGAGCGTGCGTAGGGTGTTCCCATGTAGTACTCGTTCTACTGTGGTGTGTGTGGCGGAATTGGGAGGGAAGGAGTTTTACATGAGTGGCATGGTGTTGCCCTTGGAAGCGGCAGGCGCCAGGTTGTAGGCGCTTGAGCGTGCATAGGGCGCCGCTATGATGCGCTCTGGCGTGCCGATCTCCTCTCCTCTCCTCTCCTCTCCTCTCCTCTCCTCTCCTCTCCTCTCCTCTCCTCAGGCGGGTGCTGCAAGAATCACTCACAGTCTGGCCGCCCTCCTTGCGAATGCGTGTGTCAACGAGGTGACTTTTGAGTCGACTCAAAAGTCAACGACCTAGTTGGGGTCGTATGAGTCGCCCACTTCCCCGTTCACAAGAACACACACAGCACTTGCAGTCTGGCTGCCATCCTTGCGGATTCGCGTGTTCATGACCTCATCAGTATTGTACCATCAGCAGCTTCCCCCGCCCCCCTTCTCCCCCCGTCACAAGCAAAAGAACTTACAGTCTGGTCGCCTTCCTTGCGAATGCGTGTGTCAACAACTTCGTCAGGGTCGTACGAGTCGCCCGTCACGAACGGGCCGAGCGCAGCTATGATGCGTTCTGGGGTGCCGATCTCCTCTATGGGCAGTTCGAGCTTGTTGGTCAGGCGCACCATGGGTGATGCCACCACCTGCAGCACAGAGAGCATAGGCCGGGGGAAGGATAATCAACACATGGAACAGAAGGAACAGAGTGACCAGTTGAGTCGGTCCCCTCGATGGACAGTTCGAGCTTGTTGGTCAGCCGCACCATGGGTGATGCCACCACCTGCAGCACAGCACAGCAGGGCCAGGGTATTCGGAATATGAGAGAAGGGCTACTCAAGGATAGGCCTAACAGCAGGGACCAGAGCAATGTGCCGATCTCCTCTATGGGCAGCTCGAGCTTGTTGGTCAGGCGCACCATGAGTGATGCCACCACCTGGAGAGTGCAGGGGGAACAAGGGAGCGAGAGAGACCCAAACATGAGGCCCAAGAATAGGCTTAAGCACAGTCTAGACACGGTGATGCGAGAGGAGAGTGCTGATCTCCTCTATGGGCAGCAGCTCGAGCTTGTTGGTCAGGCGCACCATGGGTGATGCCACCACCTGGAGAGTGCAGGGGGCCGGGGAAGGAGAAACAACACGTTAGGAAACAAGCAGGCAGAAGCACAGGAAGAACACGGTTATCAGGTGAGTCAGTCCCCTCGATGGGCAGCTCGAGCTTGTTGGTCAGCCGCACCATGGGTGATGCCACCACCTGCAGCACAGAGAGCGCGGGGAAGGATAAACAACACATTAAGAAACAGAAGGAAGAGGGTTATCACGTGAGTCAGTCTCCTCGATGGGCAGCTCGAGCTTGTTGGTCAGGCGCACCATGGGTGATGCCACCACCTGCAGCACAGCAGCCACAAGTAGTGTGGGCGGCAGGATGGGTGGCAGGATGGGCGGCAGGATGGGCGGCAGGATGGGAGACAGCATGAACTAAATGAGGGCAAGGCGATCAAGGCGAGGAGAGCAGGGGTCACAGGAATGGGGAGAGCAGAGTCCCCTCGTGGGGGTCCTTAGAATGTGATGGGATTCGACTTTATTCCACTCAGGACAGGAAAGAGCAATGGAAAGATAAAATTGTGAGAGACAGGACGCGCTACAACATGTTAACGCCCATACCTACAGCAAGCCCTCACGGGGGTCCTCGAACTTGACTTCGATCCATGGCTCGGCACACTTGGGCTGGCAGTAGTTGCCTGAGCCAAGAGGATGTTGGCATTGTGAGGATTTTCCTCCCTAAGTCCCGTACCTGCAGCAAGCCCTCCCGAGGGTCCTCGAACTTTACTTCAATCCACGGCTCGGCACACTTGGGCTGGCAGTAGTTGCCCGAGAGGATGTTGGCAATGCGCGACTGTGTCCACGTGGGCGGGATGTTGAACGTGTAAGGGGACACGTTGCCTGGGAGGAGGGGGGAGGGAGGGGGGGGGATGGATGGTGGATGGGTTCAAAAAAGCGGGATGTTGAACGTGTAGGGAGACACGTTGCCTGGAACAGGGTGGAAGTCGAAATTTGGAGGGGAAAGGGGGGCCAATGGGAGGAAGGTGGGATGGGGGACCAAAGGGAAGGAGGAATTGGAAAAGGGGAGGGGGGGTGTTGAACGTGCAGGGCTACGCGTTGCCTGGAAGGCTTTTCGACGCCTCAAAGGAGGGGGGCCAACGGGGAGGAGCGATGGTGGAGGGGGGGTGTTGAACGTGCAGGGCTACGCGTTGCCTGGAAGGGGAACCGAGTGGGGAGGTGGGGAAGGGAGGGAGGAGGGTGATAAGGAATTAGAACGATGGGGACATTCCGTGTGTGAGAGGATGTCTTGTTGTGGTATGCTGGCGCTGTTGTGAAACGTTCGTTCGAGAATCCGGAATCTCAAAGACGCGTTGGAGGTCCGAGCACCCGGTGAGGCTTGAGATTGAGACCCCGTTTCGAAACTGACGGATGGTAGGGAGAAAGAATTGGACTTAGAAAGAACGTTAGAACACGGCTTCTGAATGTGTGAGACGGGAGGAGTGAAAATCTGTGTAAGTGCGTGGGTGTGTGTGTGGGGGACATGGGGAGAACCGGACAGAAGAGGTGAGGAAATATATCATGCGAAGCGGAACAAAAGGCCGGAACGGGGAGCAGAGCGGAGAGCGGAAAGGGGAAAATCGGACAACGGAAACTTAACGCATTCTCCTCTTCATAAACTGACCTTTCCAGGTCACTCCATCATTTTAAGGCGTTACGGCCACGCGGCATACTAGCTTATATAATTATTTTCCGTCCGTTCCATTGTCTTCCATTAGGCCGGCCGTACTCCTTTCATTTGTGAGTGTAAGAAGGAGCAAACTTTGCCCCACTGGAGAAATGTTAACAGAGAGAATGTGAAAAAACGAGGCGTCAGAACGTCGTGGTCTCACCTGCTCTAAGAGCAGGCGTGTCCTTCATTCCCGGAGTGAATATGACAAAATCGCCATCCTCGGATTTCGGTAGAAACGCCCCAACCTGCTTCGGAACCGTTATAGCGGACGCTTCACTAACGGGTACCATGGGAGAAAGCGCAACGGCGGCCATTGACAGCAGGACGCTCCGGCGGTCCAGCTGCGAGTCCACGTCATCGTCGCGGGATGCTGAGCTGGCAGCAGCACGCGTGAGACGACGTGGCGAGATTTTTACGGCGGAAGGCTGGTTGTTGACGGCATGTGAGACGAAATCGTGTTGAAAAGCGAGGGACGGGTTGGAGATGGTCGAGAGCGAAGCTTGAAGAGCCGCCATGGCAAGTGATTATCAGGAACTACAAGCAAGAAAGATGCTAGCAGGAAATGAGGTACTCGCAGAAACAGCAGTGCTAGCAGGAGAGTACCTAGCAGCACTGGCTGATTCAAGTCCTGCGAAGTACTTTATATAGTTCAGAACATAAAGCAGGACCAGGAGAGTGGTGTCACAGCAAGCTTGAAACACTACCTCCTCCTGCCAACAAAAACATGCATTCTGAAGCCTGGTTCTGACCGACATACTAGCTTCCCCGAGGCGAACTCGTTCAAGGCAAAAGCATCTGGCAGTCAGCCATGGATGGCATGCCGCACGGATCTTGCCGTTGACGAGCTAACGAAGCAATGGTTACTGGTTTGCGAAACGTCATCATGTATATGCGTCACCCAGTCAAGCCAATGGGGTCCAGGAGGTGACGAACGAAGATCATCTGCAATGAGACGAAACTCGCGAACCATTGTAACGAGCAGCGTTATGCCTAGGACGGCGTCGCGAGATGGGGCAGAACAACGTGTCTGCCAGAACAAAAGGATTTTGGTGATGACGTGGCAATCAGGCGACGTGTCCAGGTAGTGGCCTGATACTGGTCCTCGCTGACGTGTAAACCAGAAGGTTGACAAGATTGCAGGGCAATTACGTGCTGGAAAAAAAAGCAGTGGGGCCGATGATCTAGCAGAGGCTTATTCGCATCTACATGAAATGTTGAACATAGGCTATGCTAATCTTGAATTGACTGTTATTTCCAAAGCAAATACGAAGGCCATACAAAGGAGTGGAATTCCCAGCCCAACCCAGCCTATCAGCTACAGCTGATCCCATCAATGTCTATCTCTGACACACTAGCTCTGGAAACTCAGGAGACCAACAAGCCAGACACAGGATCCTACGATCCAGAAACTATGAAGTCTGATGTAAATCCTTCAGCTCTCATCAGCAGAGCCACGAGGTGGTGCTACGGACGCTGTAAAGCCATCGCAAAGGCTGCACTAGCCAGCAGAGGCAAGGCTCCGCAAGAAGATACTGGAACCCACATTGTTGCCCCACTAGGCGAGGGTTCCAATCAGGCTCCGAATGGGTCTTGAATCGGATCCTGTGCCAGCCAGCATAGGCAACGTGATGGACATGAAGCAGAACACTGCTGGCACTCCACATTCACAACTTGTGAATGGAATGGCTGTTGTGGAAACCCGAGCCTGGTCCAGCCCAGCTCATACGGAAACCTGAAGGTTGGATAACCCAAACACAGGGATTAGCAGACCGAGCTTGCCTGGTAGGTGTCAGACCAGTTTAACAGGGAGCAGCTGGCTGCTCTTCCATTGCTGATGTCATCATGCTGTACCGACTCAATAGGGTTCCATGGGTCAACAGTGGCCTCAGGATGACCAGGAAGGAAGGGAATAAGTGGATGTCACCTTGACTGGAACAGAAGGATCAGCAGGTCGCGCCGTGCCTTATGATGGCCAGGAAGGAAGGAACAGCGCGTGTCAGTGTGACTGGAACAGAATGGTTCAGGAGCTTGTGCTGTGCCTTAGGATGAGCAGGAAGGCACAGTTGATGTCATCGTGACCGATCCGCATGTCTTCACAAATGGTGGTCCCGCCTTGCACACCCGCATCACAACAGCTCCCTGAACCACCTTCCCCATGAAATTCGGAAACTGGAATTTGTACTGCCGCTGACAGCCCCGCCCGGCTTTTCCTTTACTCAATCGAATGTAGCGCTTGTTTTTATTTTTAACCACTGTAACATATTTAGATGTTGGGGGTGTAGGGCAGGATTTCCCGAGCGGAATCAGTACGGCGGCAACGTACGGTCCGGTTTTGCACCACGGAGTGAAGGTAGGAAATTTCGCCATGCCGGATTGCGCCGCGCTTCGCACCTGGCGCTGCGCGGAGCTGGCGCTCTGGCTGGCATCCTTGGCTGCGGTTTGCGTTCCCCGGCTTGCAGCTTTCTGCGCCGAGTTCGCGCTCCGAGCCGCGTTCTTCGAAGCCGAGCTGGCGCTTTTGCCTGTGTTCCGTTTCGCGGAATTCACGCTCTTGCTGGCGCTCTTCCCAGCTGACGCCGCGCTCTTCTGCATGTTCTGCTGAGCTGTCATGAGGTTCCGGCTGACGTCAGCATGGATAGATCCGGATGGGTTTTCCAGTGGCCGCGGTGAGAGGGGGGAGGGGGAGAGGGGGAGGTGTTGAACGGCGCGATTGAGGAGCTCGGCCAGCATGCGACGCAGCCGACCAGCGAACGACTTTTCGGAGGGGGCTGAGTCTCCATGCTCTTCAGAAGCGAGGTTGAAGCGACTTGCTAGCACGCGACCAGCCGCAAACGTGGTTGGTGAGTTCCCGCCGCTGCTGCTGTTGTTGCTGCTGCCGCTGCCAGTGGTGCTGTTGCTGCTGCTGTTGGTGCTGTTGCTGCTTCCTCCAATCCCACCACCGTCAACAGAACCACCGCTACTAGCACCACCGTTACTGCTTCCCCCAATGCCACTGCCACCCCCACCAGAACCAGCAATCGTGGAATTCCCACCGTTATTAGCACCAGACGTGTTGTTCCCTGACGTGCTATTACCGGTGGTGGGCGGTGGTTGGTTAACAGGCGGGTAGTTAGGAGGCGGAGGAGGGGAGGGGTAGTTGGGAGGCGGAGAGAGGGACGGCGGAGAGGGGGACGGCGGAGAGGGGGACGGCGGAGAGGGGGACGGCGGAGAGGGGGACGGCGGAGAAGGAGAGGGGTAGGGGGAGGGGGAAGGGCAGGGGGACGGCGATGATTGTGACGGTTTAATCGTCGCGTCGTAGACGAACGTCACCGTGCTGCCGACGTCCGCCGTCTGGATCTTGACGGTTGCTCGCAACAGCGTCTGCATCGACGAGATTGCGGGGTAGAGGCGTTGGGGACGGAGGAAATAGAGAATGAAGTCAATGAACGAGAGTAGGGCTGACACGTGGTTAATGACCCTCGGCAATCCAAACCGTTCCGTTTTCCCCATTTCCCCAAATTCCTTCCTCCTGCCCCCCCATTCCCGCACTTCCGCTCTCATCCAACTCCACTGTAACCTTCGCGTGCCTCGCCGACTGGTAACATCACGACGGCGATCTGCGTCGCCATTTTTCGCTCGCAATTTAATGCTTCTCCTTATCAAGAATTCTCAAAAACCAGCTCGTACCAAACCTTTCCCCATCTCCCATCGCCCCCAATCCCTTCCTCCCTTCTTCCCATCTCCCCCGGTTTCGCTCTCATCTAACTCAACTGTAACCTTCGCGTACCTCGCCGACCGGTAACATCGCGATGGCGAGTTGCGTCGCCATTTTCGTCCCCGCGAAGATTAATCGAAATGGCGACAGCGGGCCAGCCCAACCTCTCCTGCCGCCGTGACGGATATAGTCTCTCGAGCCCGTAGTACTCGCAGTCGATCCCGGATTAGCAGAGCCATTACTCGTGCCGCAGGGGTTACTGCTCTGCTGCTGCTTACCCGCAGCGCTTCCCGCCAGGTTCGCTCCGGCGGAAATCAGAAGGTTCGCGGTGTTGCCCCATCCGAGCCGCCGTCTGGAAGGCGTTTCTAGACTCTTTGCGAATGCCGCCGGGTCTGGCCCGAAGGCGTGGCGTTCTACTAGCTGGTCCGCAGACGCGGCTCGAAGCGAGGTGGTAAGGAGGAGAAGTGAGAGTGAGATGACGGTGACGAGACTCCTATGTCTCGCAGCCAGCCGCAAACCCATGGCCCCGCTACAAGCAGCTCGACTTCTAGCAGAAAAGGCCATTCTGTTACGAGTGCTAGTATCGACAATTCGCGCCATTTTTAGAATCTGGAAGCCACTCGGGCCGCGACAAGCCGGAGAAACGACGTCTGGCCAAGCTAGTAGTTCCCGCTGCTCTTATCCAGTTCTCTGGACCTTAGAAAGTGCTACTTGAAAAACTAGGGTCAATCGACTGTGTTGTCACAGTAGGTAAGGGACGGTGAGTTGGGAGTAGACTGTAGGGCGAAGATAAAAGTCCTCTCGAGTCGAAATGTTCGTGCTTCAAACGGTGCCAGGAAGAGGCGCCGTGTGAAAAGTTTGACTCTATGGATGTCTTGCTTTTTGTTATGGAGCTATCCGCGCAAGCGGTTACCTTTCTGGCTAACTCCGCACGGCACAGAACTCCTTTGAAAGAGCTTTCAGTGGAGATGACCATGAATCCATGGCTGTGGTTGGTGGTCTCGATGGACTCTTGTTGAACATGAAGGGCAAGCAACAGCCAATTTACTCGAGGAAGGACGGTGCTAGTTGGGGGCTGGAGATCACAGCGAAATGGTGTGGGCGATGCGTGAAGCGTGTGCGAAGACTCGCGAATTAAGCGTGCACGAGACGCCGACAAACTCTGGCGAAAACAAAGCAGACCAGAGGAAAGAGAGTTGGGGGGAGAGGTGACATTCCCAGCAGGTGCTGGAAAACGCGGAGAATGGTGGGTGGGTGGATGAGAGGAAAGGAGCAAATCTGCTGCAGATCTGAACTGTTTGTTCGGGGGAGGGAATCGAAAGCGGAAACCTTCACGATCTACGGGGAGATGAGAGGAAAGATTCGGTTCCGGGGCTGGCTGCAATGTTACAATATTTTTTCTCGCACATCACCCATCTGCTGTCGCCAAATCGAGCAGATGCGGTCCGCCTGCGACGTATTGACTGTTGATACGTGAACTGCGATCCATCCAGCCGACCAGTGCGCTAGTGTGGGGGCAACAATGCAAACCAGCCGTTGCTTGGCCAATGGCCCAAAGGGAGTGGCAGGCGGTTCCCCTCGACTGCTTTTGACTGACCAGTGACCAGACAACGTCTTCCGCCAGTATGCGCCCATCGCCACCCCACCCAAAGGGTTGGTCCAACAGGTTTCAAGGGTTCTCGCGAGCATAAACTTCCCTCGGTCAGCCTCTCGGGCAGGCGAAATGCACATGCCCCTCAACCTATCCAGTGTACTGCAGTCAAGAGAGGAAGACCATTTGGGAAACGAAAAAATGTCGGCCAGTTTTCCAGCAGTAACGACGATGACCATGAACCGTTTGATGCTGTCGCTGCCATCGAGCATTGAAGCTACCCCGCACGATGTGGTCGGCTTGGCTGTTTTTCCAACCATTTCAGCCTTCTCCTGCAGTTTTCGTTGTCGTGGCCCCACCCCACCGTCATTTGAAAATTTGGGGACCATCTGGGACATGGACAGAAACAGCTATCCAGGCGGTGCCGAACGGCTAGGCCTAGCCTCCTAGCTGTAAAGTTGTGGCGCCAAGTGAAGAAAATCTGACATCTTTAATGCGCCAAGTATTACACTAGCCTTACACTATAGCTAACCCTTTCAGATAATACAAGGGTTGAATTCAGCAACACTTTCCAGATAATACACGTTCCCACAACTTCCTACTATTAAATGTTCTCACAACGCAGGTACACAATGGTTTATCTATTACCACCGTGGCATACAGTTACGAACATGAGTACATCCTCAACAATCACCCCACGCTATGATACACACGAATTAATACATCTACCAATATGGTACCCTTTCTACTGCACCTCATTCACTGCTTTGCTTCCTTCACTTCCTCATTTGTCCCCTTGTTCCCTTCTAGACGCCTGCCGTCGCCCCCACTCCTTTCAACACCACTTCCCTCGCCCCCTTTTCTCTCTCCTGATCCCGCTATATCTCTTTCACCTCCTACCATACGTGCACGCGAAGCAGCATATGCCTCCTCGTCAATAATCTCCTCTACAGTTGATCTCGCATACTCCTTGGACGCTACATGACTGTCAGCTCGCGCCATCAGCGCGTCAACAGTCCATGCAGACGTAGCAGACGTGTCTGGTTGGGTATAGAAAGAGGGATCGTGAATTGGCAAAAACAAATGCATTAGAAACGGCTGGCCTCAAAATGAGACAAATCAACCAGGTGACAAACTGAAACAGTATCGATTTAGCGATCGTTCCCTGCAAATTCTACGTGGCAGCGTGTTATTGGTGCTCAGAAGGTGTATTGAATGGATACAGGTTCTCGTCATTCTGGTATCCGGTTAACGAGATATTGAAATAATCATTGCACCAGCTGCACGTGTGTACAAGCATCAAGCAATAACACGAATAAGGTCGATCCACGACCGCACACAACGGAATGAAATCAAGGAACAGAGAACACAGACAATTATAGTGAAAACGTTTACCTCGCTTCGACATGGCTTCACACTACATAAGACTCCTTGATTACCGACGGTAATTGGAAGAAAAACCTGAGAACGATCAAAACAAAAAAGGATGAAGTCAAATCGTTACAGAGATCACGGCGACCCTTTGCGGAAGCACGGGCTACGCTCCATTGACAAATAACGCTGCTCGTTCAGGGAGCCAAGATAGAGAGGGGTTACGGGAAACCAGTTTTGAGAGACCTATGACACCTGCCACGAAACGAGACTCGGCGTGACTACACAGTTTTCATCGGAACAAGAAAATATATGGCTACCTGTGAGTGCAGTGCCTGGCCCGTTGATGCTATGGGAAATCGTCCACTAATCAGTTTCCACTGCGGTTCTGTAGGTTTCCACACGGTAGGAAGTGTCCCCAATCGTTACCGTTTTGGACCGTTCTCTATTTTCACGTGATTTGAAATCCACCAGGGTGGTGTGGTGGAGCACTCAGCAGCAGCACGAGTTTGTTGTGTGGGTGGTGTGTGTTGTGGGTGGTGCGCCACACCACAAACGAACCAATTTGGACATCATCCTCGCTATTGCTAGATGCGCTGTGAGCGGTGTACTACAATTGGTGGCAACTACCAAATAAATACGTCATGCACCTACAGCAAATAAAAACTGCACTTACGGGTATGACTAGACCAGTTTCTGGCAATATGGTGGGCATATGGACACTTCGATGCAAGAAATTATAGAACAGATAGACAAGCGAGTGGACCAACTCTTATATGATATGACATGAGGCTGTGCTGAGCATGCTCCTTGAAATGCATGAAGGGTTACTACCATACACGGAAAACCGTATGAACACATAGTACAACAGAAACTACAGAATACATGGTCGGATCACTATTTAATTAGTGGTTAGTAGGTCAATATGGCCGTCAGGCCGGAAGAACTAGAGATATGCCATCCTGAGTAAGTCAAGCCACCTCCACAGCCTCCCCCTCACCCAGTTGAACCGCATCCTCTGCCGAAGGGGCTTCCTGGCAGGCATCCATGTGCCCCGCACGCCAATCCAGCGCCTGGCACGCGCGGGAGCAGTAGCTCGGCCCCGAGCACACCGCGCAGCAGCGGAACTCTTTCTCGCGCGTCTCCGGCCGCCCGCACCGCACGTTTCCGCACACCTTCAGTCCGCCCTCGGGCGCTGGGACACCGTGCTCCGCGTTCCACTCGAGGAGGAAGCGCGAGGCGGGGGGAAGGGGGAGATCTGGAACGGCGCAACCGAAGTCGCTCATGAGCGGGCGCAGGCACCGGCAGAGGGACTGCAGCAGCTGCGCGGGGGAAGACGCACCGTTGGCAGAAGGCGGGTTGCAGGGACCCGCGTGCGAGTGCTCCTGCGCGTGATCGTGCGCGCTCACATGCTCCTGCGCGCGCGACTCCTTGATCTGTCCCTGCTCGTTGCTCCGCGCCTCATCCGCGCTCAGCTTCGGAATCACCGCCTTCACGGACTTAATCACCGCATCTAGCTGCCGAAGCTTCTGCTCAGCCTCGGGAAATCCGCCTTCCCCAGACAACACCTGGCTGGCCGCAAACTCCCGCAGATTCGCCTCCATCAGTAACCGCCTCCCCTCCGCCACGTTCTTCTTGATCCCGTACCCGTCCTGCAAGCAGTGCCCTAGCTCCCGAAGCGCCGCCACGTGGCCCTGCTGCGCCGCGCTGGCGCAGAGAAGCACGCCGACGGAGAGTTTCCGCTCGGGAACCGCGCCGCCACTACCGTTGAAATGGACGACGGCGAGAGAATGCAGCGCGCCGGGGTGACCTGCTTTCGCGGCTTGGACTAGGTGTTTGATTCCGTCCTTACGGTCGCCTAGGCAGTAGAACTCGATCATCCCGAGGAGAAACGCGGCCTCGTTGTTGCGCGCGTCCGCGCACGCGCGGAGGAAAGAGCGGTAGGACGCGGAATAGGCGCGCGCGGGGCATGTGAGCGCGGAGATGGGGAGCGCGGAGAGGACCTCGGGGAACGTGGCCACGTCGTGGAAGCGTGTGCAGGAGAGGCGCAAGCTGGCGAACTCCGCAGCTGACGCGCATTTCGACGCGACGGATGTGGCGATTAGGGAGAGAACGTCACCCTGGAAGAATAATAGGAGAGGAGCAAAAAGAAGGAAGTCCGAAGGTTAGAATCCGTTCAAAGTGGAAAACGGAGATAGAGAACTAAGTGAACGAGGGGTGCCGGGAGTGGAAACAAAAGTGGATAGGAGTGCTTACCGGAATAATATCCAGTGACGATGAGGACTGAGCGACAGCTTTGGTCTCGGACGCGCGAAGACGCTTGGCAGCGGCCATTTCGATGAACGCAGAAGCTGCTCGCTTAGGAACCATTTTGCTATGTCCTTAGTTGCTGAGATCCTTGATTCAAGATTGTTTGTTCGTGCTGTGTTGTCCCTGGGACTTCTTTGGCGCTCGGGCAAAGCGATGGAGTCAATCAGGGCGTGTCTGAAGTGCAAACGTCGAGTTTCGTCAAATTTCGTCGACGAAACTCATCCGTGGGACCCACGCGTGTTGGTGTCTGAAGTGCAGCCTGACATCCCTCTACGAAACTCGACGTTCGTGCACATGTCGAGGGATGTCGAACAGTGATACCGGGCAGCTGTTTGAGTCACTGTAGTCAGTGAGTGTTTCAAAAACAATTCTTCGACACGCCATGTCTGCATAGCTGTGGCAAACACACGTTAATAAGAACTAAGACGAGAGCGACACGTGCTAGAGAAATTTCGCTGGCAATGTGACAGTAGAATATCCGGTGTTACCAGCAACAATCTATGCTAAGCGAAATTCGCGAGATTGCAAACAATTGAGTTACATGAATGATTCTGTTAATTCCACGTCGAATTTTCATGGGCAACTTATAACAGTGTTCCTATGGCACGTGTGGGTTATTTTGTCGTGTGGGTGTCTGAAGTGAACACAGCTGAAAACGGATGTCGAGTTTCGTCAAGGAACGTCGACGAAAGTTTCGTCGGCAAACGTCGAAATTCACTTCAGACACGCCCTCAGTTGGAGCTGGTGCAATGTGCAGTGGTAAACGTGGTTTGGTGAAGCTGAAACAAGGGTTTCGTTTTGACCTACAGGCGATAGCAACGATCCCCAGTTTTATCCATGTCTGGTTCCATCTAATACGACAAATCAATTTGCACCCGGAGAAACCGATAACAGAACGGAACATGCGCAGCGGTGCAAACACAAACCAAGGCGAATCTCCGCCTCAGCAGATATCAGCGAAGCGCAGCAAATCACATGGGCATTTCTCTGTGGGCGCTCCGGGAAGCGGTGCGGAGGAGGTGCACCCTGCATTTGCTTCGCCATCACATTCGCTCAGATTCGCGCCTTGATAAGCGCCTGAAAAACTCCCTGCCCCTCCAAATTCAAATAGAAAGGTTCAAACACCTGCGGCTAGGCCAAATTGCGGCTCCAGAAGCCAGAATGGTTCAGCCCTGAGAGACACATGCGGGAACCCACCTGCGCAGATCCCTGAATAGACATCAGCGAATATGACTCCGCCTATCCACCACAAGAGAATGACCCAACCAGCCCCAAAAGAATCGCAGGGCGCTACAGTGCCTCGATAACATTTCCGTGGTGATGACTTTCCCAGCTTATGGGAGTTCGGCATTTCAGGAGGGTTTTTCTGTATGTGGTCGGGAATATACTTCATCTTACAATATCACCCGTTAACTTTAGGTATTCAACCCAGGGAACATGGACAGTACAAACCTTAATGCTTTTTTCTACAACCATGTGGATATGGAAAAAAACGATTAGCAGCGTTTCACAATTCACAGCCATGTGAATAGGGTGTGTTCTATTAGCAGCTTTTCACAATTCACAGCCAGCACAATTGAAAAGAGCAACAAATTTCCAATGCGAATACGTTCAGTCCAATGCACCCTTCACAACCCAGCAAGCACCCATGTCACTTGGATCTCTTATACATCAAAACCCTCGAGGCACTCTCTTCATTCCCAGCACATATTAGCATGGACCTTCATTGGGGGGGTGTTCGAACCAGGGTTGCATGATCTGAAGCTAAACTTAAGCCTTGAAGCAAGTATCAACTAACACCAAGCCCTTCTTCACACTACGACAATGCAGATTTCACAAAGATACAATTTTCATGCGCTCTACTCATCTGATTCATGCCGGCGGTATCCCTCTCCAAGCCTTCCTACTCCTCTCGGTCTAAGTTTCAACACATTCATTACCTTGCGTGCCCGCTCCCACAACTCCTTCCCTATTCGTTTCCGCTCCTCTAACCGCTCCTGGACATACGCATACACTGAAGGAGCTGCAAAAGCAGCGCCCAGCGCGATCACGACGTAAAAGCAGATCCACATCACGTTGATGAACCCTGAGGTGATGTTTGGGTCGTTGGTGGTTTGCTGCACCCAGGGGACCCCCCCCACATTCATGCCAAAGGCTGGTGGGAAGGAAGGGAGGGGGGAAGGGGAAGAAAGGAGCAGGGAGCAATTGAGCCGAACTGTATGTTATAAATGGCTTCTTCTTGGTCGGTGGTTCTCTCTGCCCAGGGGACTCCGTCCAGCGCAAAAGCAGCACAGAGTGCAATCACGTCGCAAAAGCAGATCCAGATGAACCCTGAGGTGACGTTTGGGTCGTTGGTGGTTTGCTGCACCCAGGGAACCCCACCCACGTTCATGCCAAAGGCTGGTGGTGAGGGAATTCGGGGGAAAAGGGGGATCAATCACTTGAGACTGTGCGTTATGAAGCCTTGAGTGACATTTGGGTCGTTGGTGGTTTGCTGCACCCAGGGGACTCCACCCACGTTCATGCCAAAGGCTGGTGGGGAGGGAAGGTGGGGAGGAAGCAGGGAGAGAAGAATGTCTGGTTTGTCAATGTTTGCTGCATCCAGTGCAATAACCACATAGAAGCAGATCCACATAACGCGGATACACCCTCGAGTGACATTTGGATCGTCGATGGTTTGCTGCACCCAGGGGACTCCACCCACGTTCATGCCAAAGGCTGGCAGGGAGGGAGGGAGGGAGGGAGGGGAGAAAGAGGTGAAACCGTGTGTTGATAAATCCTCTGGTGATATTTGGGCCATCGGTGGTCTGCTGCACCCAGGGGACTCCACCCACGTTCATGCCTAAGGCTGAGAGGGAGGGCAATGTGGGGAATAAAGAAAGGAGGGAAAGAGGTGAAACTGAGTCGGGTGACATCTGGGTCTCACCACTGAGGTGAAAGAGGTGAAGCTGCGCCGTGGCTCTCACATTCACCCCACCTCCTGACACCACTCTTACCTCCAGTGATGATAGAGAGCGACAGGAAGACAATGGAGAGGAAGGAGATGTAGTAAAGCTTCTCGTTACTCTGCTCTGACTGCCACTGGTCCAGCCCCGTCTGTAGCGCCGTGATTCCCCAATTCGCCCGTCTCATACCTGACTCTCGCCGTCAGGGACCCCACGTTCTCCTTGCCTCTCCTCAGACGAGCCATGGCCCCTTCCAGCCCCGTCTGTAGCGCCGTCACACTTCCTCACTGTTCATCCCGCTCCCTATAACACCTCTTACCTCCGGTGATGATAGAGAGCGGCAGGAAGACAATGGAGAGGAACGAGATGTAGTAAAGCTTCTTGTTGATCTGCTCTGACTGCCACTGGTCCAGCCCTGTCTGTAGCGCCGTGATTCTCGCCGTCAAGAACCCCACGTTCTCCTTGCCTCTCCTCAGCCGAGCCATGGCCCCGTCCAGCACCGCCGAAGCTACAGGTCCGGCGCACCAGTGTCGAGCCACGAGCCTGTCCTTCAGCTTCGGTAGCACCACCTCCCCGTGAGCCAGAGACTGCAGCACTCTCTGCAAGTCCAGGTGGAGCTTGGGGAAGGTTCTGTCTTTCAGTAATCGGAGACGGTAATCAGATCCTGAGAATGTAGACAGGCGGGAGTAAGAAAGAATCAGGGTAAGAATCACACTCAGAGATTCAGCAAGCAGTGACTGCAGCACTCTCTACAGGTCCAGGCACAGCTTAAGGAAGGTTCTATCCTTGAGCAACCTCAGGCGATGGTCTGAGCCTGAGAGTGTTACACAGGGAAAAGGGGCAATCACACACACAGATACAATAAGCAGGGGCAAGACAGCAGCTCTCTGCAGGTCCAGGCCCCCCTTGGGGAAGGTTCTATCCTCGAGTAGTCGCAGCCTGTGGTCTGACCCTGAAAATGTATACAGAGGGGATTACGAAGGGGTGGGGTTGGGTGGGGTAGGGATTGCACAGAAAGGTTCAACAAGCAGGGAGAACCGTGCAGCACTCTCTGCAGGTCCAGGTGCAACCTGGGGAAGGTTCTATCTTCAAGTAACCGAAGCCAATGGCCAGACCCTGAGGGCGGCACACAGAGAGGAATGGAGGGGCGTGGGTGTCAGCCTGGGGATTGCATACAGAGATCACCATCTAACACAAGCAGGGGGAACACTGCAGCACTCCCTGCAGCTCCAGGTGCAACCTGGGGAAGGTTCTATCGTTGAGGAGTAGTAGGCGATGGTCTGGTCCGAGCCAGGTAGGATATAAATAAGGGGAAGGGGGTTATCAAAAAGGGAGAAGAGGGAACAGGGCATACGCTATCCCACCTTCATACAGGTCCCTCTCGTGTTGGTCCAGCATGCACTCCACCTCCACCACCACATCTTCCAAATGCTCCATGTGCGTCCCCATGTACTGTACCGCATTGTGTTGGTACACTACCTTCATCCAGGTACCTTCAATGATGTACCGCACTGTATCACATAGTCACCTTCATCCAGGTCCCTCTCGTGTTGGTCCAGCATACACTCCACCTCCACCACCACATCCTCTAGATGCTCCATGTGCGTCTCAGTGTGAGTGTGCTGCAGCAGCCCTTTCATTCATGCACAGAACTGTACCGCACTGTACTGCATTGTACCGCACTGTATCATATAATCACCTTCGTCTAGGTCTCTTTCATGCTGATCCAGCATACACTCCACCTCCACCACCACATCCTCTAAGTGCTCCATGTGCGTCTCAGAGTGCGTGTGTGTGTGTGTGTTTGCATGTGTGCGAGCAATAGGGAATGGAGAATACACTACCTTCATCCAGGTCCCTCTCGTGTTGGTCCAGCATGCACTCCACCTCCACCACCACATCTTCTAGATGCTCCATGTGCGTCTCAACAATGTGCTGCAGCAGCCCAAACACCGTCACTGGGATCAAGCACTCCGCATTCTCTGGGTGGCTCTTTCGCAAGAGCTCCTCTAGCTCCTGAGGAACACATGGGGCATGTGAGACACAAGGGAAGGCAAAGGGTAAGAGCACGAGCAGATCAAAGCAGCCCAAACACCGTCACTGGGATCAAGCACTCGGCGTTCTCCGGATGGCCCTTTCGCAAGAGCTCCTCTAGCTCCTGGAGGAGAGCAGGTGAGAGACACAAGGGAAGGCAAAGGGTAAGAGGTGGGGCATGTAACACACCACAGCAGCCCAAACACCGTCACTGGGATCAAGCACTCGGCGTTCTCCGGATGGCTCTTTCGCAAGAGCTCCTCTAGCTCCTGGAGGAGAGCAGGTGAGAGACACAAGGGAAGGCAAAGGGTAAGAGGTGGGGCATGTAACACACCACAGCAGCCCAAACACCGTCACTGGGATCAAGCACTCGGCGTTCTCCGGATGGCTCTTTCGCAAGAGCTCCTCTAACTCCTGGAGGAGAGCAGGTGAGAGACACAAGGGAAGGCAAAGGGTAAGAGGTGGGGCATGTAACACACCACAGCAGCCCAAACACCGTCACTGGGATCAAGCACTCGGCGTTCTCCGGATGGCTCTTTCGCAAGAGCTCCTCTAACTCCTGGAGGAGAGCAGGTGAGAGACACAAGGGAAGGCAAAGGGTAAGAGGTGGGGCATGTAACACACCACAGCAGCCCAACCACCGTCACTGGAATCAAGCACTCCGCGTTCTCTGGATGGCTCTTTCGCAGCAGCTCCTCTAGCTCCTGAGGAACACAAGGGGCAGGTCAGACACAAGGGAAGGCAAAGGGTAAGAGCACGAGCGGGTAAGAGGAGGGGGCACGTGTCACAGCAGCAAGATAGGGGGTATTTGAGCTCCTTCCCCACATGACAGAGCACAACCACGTTCACTGCCAGACACTGCCACACTCACTGCCACACTCACTGCCACACTCACTGCCACACTCACTGCCACACTCACTGCCACAAGCGCTGCCAGTAGCTCAACCACATGCACTGCAAGGGGCACTCACCGCATCATCTACATCGATGGTCGTGTGTGCCTCCGCCTGCTGCTCCCTCACCTCCCTCCTCCTCGGCGTCATTGCCTCCAGAACCTTCCCCACTCGCGCCAAAACCCCGCCACTCCGCTTCCCCCCAACCCCACCCGCGTCCCCAGATGCACCTCCCCCAGCAGAACCCACCCCAGACGCGCCTGCACCAGAAAAACCTGCACTAGCCCCCCATCTGACTCCTCCCCCACCAGCATCACTAGCATAGCCTCTACTGCCCAACCCGAAGCTTCTGCTGCCCAGCCCTTGCAACAGCCCCCGCTGGTCCAGATTCCCCTCGCTCTTCACCTGACTCACACCTGCGTCGGAGACAGGCAAACCCCCCTCTATTGTGCCGGAGGAAAGCGAACCCCCCTCTATTGTCACACACTCTTCTATCTCGGAGTGTAATAGTCTGAGAGGAGCGGCTGCAGACTCAATTCTTACTGTTGCTCCTCCTGCTACTACCGCTGCTATCGCGGAAGCCTCTAACGAGGATGATCCTGCCCCTACGCTGATCTTAAGTGGTCGGGGCGTGTCAGACGGGCTGCCAGGAGTGCTGGTTTGCGGCGTGACTGTAGCGCTGGTGCCTTTAACGAGAACAGAAAGCGCGGCGCTTTCTGGTTCGCCCTCGTTAATAGCCCGGAATGACGCATTCGGCGATCGCCTCCTCAAAACGGTAGCTCCGTCTGTCCCTCTGTCTGCCCCGTTAAGACTGCTAGCCGAACCAGCAACACCAACGGCAGCAGCAACACCAATGGCAGAACCAGCAGCAGCGCCACCTGCACCACCACCAGAACCCACACCGTTCGCCCCAGCAGCCGGGGCAGCATCGTCGCGCAATCTAGCCACCAGCCCCGCCAACCCTAATCCAACCTCTGACCCTAACAGTCCTCCTGGTTCTCTTTGAAGCTCTAAACGCGGCACCGGGCCCAACGCGACGCTTACTATTCCAAACGGCGTGATCCGCGCCGCGATCTTAAAAGTGTACGGGCTGTCCATAGGCCCGGGGGAGTTAATCCGCACGAAAAGCGCGCCCCCGAGAGTGCCGCAATATGGACCGTTGGATAGAAGCGTCGTGATCTCCTGCAGCTGCAGCGGAGGGTGCAGATGCGTGATGAGCTGGCGAGCTGCGGCGGAAAGCGACGGGCACGATCGCGGGATCTCCACGTGGAACCACGAGAACTCGCCACCTGGCTGCGTCAGGAGCCCCCCAGCGGCGCCTGTAGCGGCGGGCGTTACACCCGCGGATGGGACACCCGCGGGGTCTGCTACAGCCGCGGGGACGGCGAGCGCGGGGTGGGGGAGATAAAACCCCGTTGCGGCATCCAACGAGCCGGCTGAGTCTGTTCGGCTGGAAATCGGACGGGGAGGATTCTCCGCGGGCGGCGGCGAGCGCGCTGCGTCTGATTCTCGGGGGGATATCTGAAATTGCACCTGCTGGTGGTGGTGCTGGTGGTGGGGGTGAATCGTCGTCGCCTGCTGTAGTTGCGACGGGGTATGCTGCCTCCCCAGCAACCGTCCCTTCTCGAATTCCTTCAGCCGGTCCCAATCCAACCGCTCAAACGAGCCCAGGCCGTCGAACCGATACGCTGACCGTCGGATTCGCGACCTCTCTCGCTCCTTCGAGGATCTGGAGCGGGAGAAAGCGCCGAAGCGCTTCGGGCTGCGAGGCGACGAGGGGGCGAAGAGAGGACGCGTATCGGATCCGCGATCCGACCAATCCATGATTCGGCGCTGGAGATTAAATTCCAGATGCTGTTAACATACACTCGCAGTATCGTTTAAAGCCGCGTCGATAGTGTGCTGGAGAGGCGTAAAAAGGACGTGACTTCTTGTGCGGAGACGCACAGAAGTCACCGCTGAAGATATAGACGCGCAGTCGAATAGAAACAGCGTCAGCACGCAAATGTGTGTGCTAAATTACAAGAAACAGTTACATCGTTGAGAATATACCACTCTACCGCTGCTGCTCACTATTCCGGCAGAAAATCCAAGCCAGTCGTTTGCGAAATCCCGCTGTGCCGCTGCCTGACAGCTTCTTCATAAAAGCCAAGGGTCATCGATTAGTTCACTGATTTCAAAAGGAAACACAGGCCTAATCACCACGGCTACTTTCACTCCCTGCGACTCCTCCTAAGGAGCCTACGAGCCGACGAGCGATTGCTGAAATATCGCACTGGAACTCGCAGATCCCGCGAGCCACCGACGTGACTAAGCGTCGCCCCTCGTTCAATAAACTGTCGCTAGGCCCGAAGGTTCCTAACTTTTCGCCCCTAAGTCAACAGACTCCCTGGTCGATTAGTCCTCAATCAGTGCCACCCATAGATTGATAGTGCTCGGAAAATCGTTTCATATTTGGTTTCCACATGCGGACGGAAGAGGCAGTTCAAGAAGAACCAATATGGCTATCTCAAGGGTCCAGGCTTGAGAGGGTATGTTGGACCCGCAACCGCACTGCGTCCCAGCTTATTCCTTTCGAACACCTTACAGAGCCGCGTCAGACTCAGCGAGAACCGCGATTCGGCAGGCTCCACTTTTATTGTCTCCGTGTTTCTCGACCCCAGATTTCTCCTGGATAATGCCGTCTGGTTGCCTCACCTCGTCTGACAAGCCCATTCCCGCCGTTTTCTCGACCAATCGGACGCGTCATTGATCTTTCTCGGAATTGTAAAGCAGAAAGATACCATCGCTCACTAAACAAGGCTGCTCAACAATTATAAGACTTCGTGCAGACTGAGAGGGCACGAATACGGATGGTACATAAACAGAAGTTAACTAAGAGGTCAAGAGAAATCTACCAGCCAGAAATATCCCGTTAGGTGATATATCTAGCCTAGTGAGAAATGTCCCAGGTCCTAAATCAATCTCCTCTACCTCCTCCACACAAGAGCTATGCTCAACAATGTCATTCTCCTTCTCGCTTTCTCGCTTCCCTTTTTGCCCTTTCTCTCTTCCCTGACCCCCACGACGACCATTTCCGCCTCTACCCTTTCCTTGCTTCTTACCTAAATCGTCCCTCGCACATGCAACTAGGCACTCACTACCGAATTTGCTTACAGAGAGTCGTCGACCGTCCTCACTAACTGCAAGGCGCACCGCAACAGGCAAAGGACCCCTATATGACGACTCCTCTTCTGCCACTTCTCCTATACCGCCCTCCCCAATAGTCACATCCGCACCAGCCCCTCGTCCGGATAAACTCGCATCTGGAAAAATCGCATCCGAGCTTGATGATAACGCATTATTGGACTGTAGAGACGCGAGTGTACTGTTATCTGAAGTTTCAGCATCCAGCGCCACACCGGCCGGAGTTCCCAAGGCTTCCCGTGATGCAGCTCCCAGCAAACGCTTAGATAGGGACAGCCAACCAGCCCCAGGGCCAGAAACACCCATTTCCTCTCCGCTTAGCTGCTGCTGCTGCTGCTGCTGCTTCTGCTGTTGCTGCTGCTGTTGCTGCTCCATCCACTTCCTCTGACCTGAAAGCCAGAAGGTTTCTCTAGACCAAAACTCGCGAGGAGGGATGAGAGAGATGGGGGGTGTTGAGGGGGAAGTAGGGGTGTCAAGGACTTGAGGGACCGATCCTTGCCCTTGCCCTTGCTGCTGCTGCCTTTGCTGCAGCACTGGCTCCTGCCCTTGCTGCTGCTGCTGATTCATTTGCTGTTGCTGCTGTTGTCTGTGTCGTCTCCCCAGGCCCAGGCTTGGCGAGGAGGGGAAGAGAACAGAGCTAGCAAAGAATGGCGTTCCTGGCCCTCTCCAGGTGTAGGGGTATAACGCTGCTGGTGTAGCAGCAGCAGGAGATTCTGCAGAAGTTGGCAGAGTGTGGTTGTGAGCGGTGGGAAGGTTTGCAGCTGGGTTGTTGGGGTGGGGGATGCGGAGGGGACGGAGGCGGCGGGCTAGAGAGGTAGAGAGGCGAGAGGAGCGGGGAGAGGGAGGAGGGGAGGAGGAGAGAGAGGGAGAGGAGGGAGAGGAGGAGAGCGAGGGTGAGTGAGGAAGCGAGGATGAGGGACGGGTAGAGGATGGTGTAGTATCCAAGGTTTGAGGGGAGGAGTGGGAAGGGAACAGAAAGGGCGGCTTCAGGAGCTGCAGCCGCCCGACAGTATCCAGCACTGGCTGAGGGAATCTGATCTGGGTGGCAGAGAATCTCAACAGTGACAGTGGGTTGGGCGGCAGAGGGGGAATGGGGAGGAGAGAGAGGTCTAGGGAGGGTTGGGAGGAGGAAGTGGGGGAGGAGGTGAAGGGGGAGGAATAGCGGACGGATAGGCGGGGGGAGGAGAATTGGGGGGAGTAGTAGGGGGAGTGGTGGTGGGGGGAGGAGTGGGGGGAACTGAGGCGAGCTGTGGGGGTGAATCGAGGGGTGAATCGGGGGGAGGGGGTAAAGCGGGGGGAGGGGGTGAAACGGGGGGTGCGGCTATAGGCAGAGGGAAAATGAGGGGAAGGGGGAGCGTGGGGAGAGTTGAGGGAGTGTGTATACGAGGTTCGAAGGGGGTTTAGAAGGTTATGTTTTGAAGAGGAGGAAAGGGTAGTGGAGTGTGGGGGTTTGAGGGAAAGTGAGGGGGGGTGAGAGGAGGAAGGGGAGGGAGGGTATGGGGGAAGGGCATATTTGCTATTGGCGCTATTGGGCGGCAGACTGGAGATCAGATTCTGATTCTGGCCAAATCTTGGATCCTGATTGGCTGCTACGAACTCCAAGAATCCGTCACCAAGTGACACGTGGAGGGCTGGGATTGGCTGGCGGTCGTCCAATGAGAAGACAGAGCGGAGAAGAGGGAAGAGGAGAGGGCTCCTTAGGCTGAACGGGGGATAAGGGGAGAGAGAGGGAGGTGGGGGAGGGGACGATGAGGAGAGAGAGAAGAAGATTGAGTGAGAGGTGGGAGTGGGCGTGAGAGGAGAGGGAAGAGAAGGGGGGAGAGGAGAGGGCTCCTTAGGCTGCACGGGGGGAAAGGGGAGATGGGGGAGAGGGTTGGGGAAAAAGGGAGAGGGGGGGAGCAACGGGGGGAAGATGGATTATGATGGGGGAGTGGGAGTGAGCGGAGGGGGAAGAGGAGAGGGCTCCTCAGGCTGCATGGGGGGAAAGGGAAGAGAGAGGGGGGAAGGGGGATGGGGGAAAGAGGGGAGGGGATGGGGATAAGGGGAGTGAGGGGAGAGAAGGGGGAGGATGGAGTGAGATGAGATGGGGAAGTGAGAGTGAGGGGCGGGGGAGGGGTAGAGGGCTCTTGAGACGGCAAGTGGGGAGGGTTTGGGTTGGGGTAAGGAGGAAAAGGGGGAGGGAGGGGGGGAGTGGGCGTCAAAGCTTGGGGAATGAGGAGCAGAAGTGGCTTAAAGGGCCCGGATTGGCTGGTAGCCGACCAATCGAAAGAAAGATTAGAGGGGCAGGAAGAAAAAAGGGTCCTGAGGTTCATAGGGGCAAGGCTGAAGAAAGGGCACGGGAAGGACACCAGGAAAGTGCAACAAACTGGACAAGCGCGCGTGCTTCTCATGTCCTACAACCATTTTTTATGCCGCGAAGCCTGTTTCTGTTTTCTGAGGCGCCTAAACAGATGCCTTTATATATCCTGCATCGGATTTTGCGAAACCTGTGTTTGATGAGCAACGCAAATACAAAGCAATCAACAAATTCGACTCACGTTCAGCTCTGTAATTGCGTTGCTCACCTCCTGCTTAAGTGGTCCTCACCGAGAGGGATATGGGCTATTTTTGAGGCGCCTAAAAAATCGTCTTACGGGCTAGGCCTCATGGAATTAAGATCCCATTTGACACTCTAAATTACCCTCCACCGGGTCACTACAGGAAACCGACCCACCTCCTGTTGAACAGTTGACGCTGACCCACCTCCTGTTAAAATCTTCAAGGTTCATGAAGAGAAAGGGGCGAACTGGAAAGAGGTGGCTTTTGAGAAAGGGTTCATAAATCTTTGAGGCGCCTCAAAAATGGCCTCAAAAGGCGCCTAAAAAATTGCCTCAAAAATCTTCAAAGGGGCACACTGGGAAGTGCAAGTCAGGGAAAGCGACTCACCTCCTGTTGAAGTCGTCAGGGCTCATGGATAGAAAGGCGCGCACTGGGAAGTGTGAGTCGGTGAAACTGAAAGGGGGAAGGGGAGGCAGGAATTAGGGAGAGGAAATAGGGGAGGGGGGAGGGGGAAGGGGAGAGGGAGCGTGAAAGGTTGGCAAGGCTCTTGGATAGAAAGGCGCGCACTGGGAAGTGTGAGTCGGTGAAACTGAAAGGGGGAAGGGGAGGCAGGAATTAGGGAGAGGGAATAGGGGAGGGGGAGGGGGAGGGGGGGGGGGGAGGGGGAACGGGTGAGGTTGGCTGGCAGGGTTCATGGAAAGAAAGGCGCGCACTGGAAAGTGCGAGTTGGTGAAACTAAAGGGGGGAAGGGAAGGGAAGGGAGGGGGAGGCATTTAGGAGGGGGAGGAAAGCGGGGGGTTTGCAAGGGTTGCGGGAGGAGAGGAAGGAGAGAAGAGGAGAGAAGAACTACGAGCGGGCAGGGATGGGGAGGGGTTAGGTTAGGAGGGAAGAATTGGCAGGGGAAGCGAGGAGAGACAGGTGCGCACTTGCACTTGAAAGAACGCGTGCATTGAGGTGTGTTTTGAGGTGCCTCAATGCGCGAGGAGAGAAAGGCGCGCACTTGAAAGAAGTGCGAGTTGAAAACGCTGCCATGAGGGAGGGAAGAGGAGGGGAAGGGAGGGGAGGGGAGGGGAGGGGAGGGGAGGGGAGGGGAGGGGAGG